AGTACTCTGGTTTTCCTCTTGTTTAGCAGAATGCTCTCACGTAAAAAGACATGCAAAAGGGGGGAGCAGGACGGTGGCACGGCTCGGCTTTTCTTGCCCTCATGCAGTGCGGGTCGCGAGTCGGCTCACTGAGGGATACACTCTGTCCGGATGACCGCCGCGCCGGACCACGGCGGCGACGCGAGGGTGACGACAGGACAAGACGCCGACCAGTACTGCCGAGCCGGGGAGACTCCGCAGCGTGCCACTGCAGGCAACAGGAAGGCAGCGACGGGAGTGCGGTGGCTGCGATTGCAAGCAGCCGAAGCGTCGAAGCCACAGCGCTGCCGCTGTCACAGTGTCGAAACGCCAGCGGAGGATGACGAGAGGAGACACCAACCTCAGCGCCTGTTCCGACACACAAAGATCCACGAAGGCGCGCTTCTGATTCCTTCGATGTGCGGCGAATCCTCAGAGCACAGTGTCGTTCTTGGCAGCGGCACGTCGTGACACTTGCTGGCGCTGTGGGCGTCGGTGAAAGAGCGGCGAAGACGTGTCGATCGACTCGCGTGATCAACCGCATCACTGGCGTGAAGATGAGGTCTGATTCTGGCACCATCGCTTGAGACTTGCCCCAAATGGTACTGGGAACGCATTCACATCTACATGCTGTGAACAAATTGCACTTTCGTCCATAACTAGTGCCCACGTGCTCCTTCGGCCATTTTTCGACGCCGAAATCGACTCCTAAGTATAACCCTTAGATATTCCCTAAGGGGTATTCCTCAGGGTAATCTCTAAGGATATTTCCTAAGGAGAATTCTAAGGAAAATTTCTAAGGATATTTCTAAGGATATTTTCTAAGGATATTTCTAGGATAATTTCTAAGGCGACTCTCCAAGATCAATCGCTAAGGATATTTGTCTCAGAATATTGGCTAAGAATATTGTCTCAGGATATTGTCTTAGAATATTGTCTTAGATATTTGGCTAAGAATATTGTCTCAGGATATTGTCTTAGAATATTGTCTTAGATATTTGGCTAAGAATATTGTCTCAGGATATTCTTAGAATATTGTCTTAGATATTTGGCTAAGAATATTGTCTCAGGATATTGTCTTAGAATATTGTCTTAGATAATATTGTCTTAGATATTTGGCTAAGAATATTGTCTCAGGATATTGTCTTAGAATATTGTCTTAGATATTCGGCTAAGAATATATCTTGTCTTAGATATTTGGCTAAGAATATTGTCTCAGGATATTGTCTTAGGATATTTGGCTTAGCAAATTGTCTCAGGATATTTGGCTTAGGATATTCCCTTAGATATTTAACTTAGGATATGGTCTCAGGATATTTGCCTCAGGATATGGTCTCAGGATATTTGGCTCAGGAAATTGGCTTAGGAAATTTTCTCAGGATATTTTCTCAGGATTGGTCTCAGGACATAATCTCAGGATATTTGGCTTAGGATATTTGCCTGACGGTCCAGGCCACCCTCAGGGATGCCTAGATCTGAGGGCAGAAGAGAGAAGATTGAGTGCACACAAAAAGCAGACTAAGCGATCAATCAAATTCCTGCGTGGTGTTAGGTTTGTTGCTTGAGCACCCCGACGGCGATGACGGTGTGACCGATCGAGCTACAAGAGGAACTTGTTCAGCAGGATCCGGGATGGTCAGGCGCACTACCTCACTGGAGTCAGAAATGTGGTCCTTGCGCGACTCGATCGAGGGGCTGCCAGGATATGCAGCAAGGAGGGCGGAGCTGCGCCGAAAGGCGAAAGAAGCCGAGAGAACAAGGGAACGGCAGGCGGCGGCGGCGCAGGACGAGGCAGAAGAGAATGACGCGACAGAGGAGGAAGTGACAAGGGGTACGCGAAAAAAGATTTTTTTGGGCTCGCACGACACGATTAATCAATCGCCATTCGCTCTCACCTGGCAACCCTGTCTGCACGTCTCGCGCGCGCGTGAACAGGGCTCCAGGCCCCAAATGACGTGTGAGTGTTAGAGTTGTTTGGTATTGGTATTGCTAAAAATCTCTCTCCAAACTCCCTTGCGGATCCAGTTGTCAGATGTCACGATGCACCCGAAGGGGACCCCAGCGCCGGCATCATCCGTAGAGGCACAAGTGTTCGAAGAGAGAGTGGACCTGAGCAACGATATGACTTGGAGGCAAATGATCGCAGTGGGCGTCAGAAGAGTCGTCCTTGCGCTGGTCTGAGAGATATTTGTTCTGGTCTGTGAGATTCACACGACAAGCAAGGCGCAGACGACGGCTTCCTTAAAAGCCGTCGTCCTCGCCAACTAGGAAGTCGTCCCAAGGCAAATGATCGAATCCGCGAACACCGTAGTGCTCTCCGAAGAAAAGAATTTCAGTTTGTACGCAGATAAGAATTGGGACGGAGCCACAGCAGAGATATAGGCGGCGCGGCCCGTGTTAGTAGCTGCTGTCTAGCTCGAGCTCCTCGAGCGCCCACGCGCGGCTCGAGCGGCCGCCGCACGGCAACGAGGGCGCCGGTGCGCACGCCACATCCGCGGTGCGCCGCGGCTTGACGCGCGTCTTGACGGCCTTGGTCTTCACCTGGCGCGTGAGCTGTGCGGTGCGCGAGGCCTTGGCCGCGCGCCTGCCGCCGCCGCGCAGCGCCTTGGCCTGCAGCCTGTGCTGCCGGCGTGCGTGGCGCGTGGCGCGGCGCGCATCGCGCTCGCGCTTCGCCTCGTGATTCTCCTTGAGGACGCGCGGCAGCTGGAGTGCGTCCTCGGCCACGTCCTGGCTGAGCCCCTCCTGGCTGAGCGCCTCGAGCACGGTGAGCTCGCGTTTGCGGCCGCGGAGCCAGGCGTGCACGACATGCGCGACTTCCACCTCCAGCTGCACGTGCTGCGCGTGCGACAGCGGGGCCTCCGATGCGCTGGGAGGGGCGAGCACGAGTGTGGTGACGACGATGCGGCTCGTCTCGAGCTGCACGAGGCTGTGCAAGGCCTTCCCCTCGTCGCCCGCGGCGAGCTTGCACCGCGTCAACGAGGCCTCGAGGCCGCGCACGAAGCGGCCGCCGCAGCCCACGAGGTGCTTGGCACTCGGATGGTGGGGCAGAAGCGGCACCACAGTCACCGTCGGTGTGAGCGCGGCGCACGCCGCGTCGAGCGCCGCCGTGGCGACGGCAGTTGCCTCGTCGCCGTCGTGACGATCGTAGAGGCGCACCTCAAAATGCCACTCCTGCCTGACAGTCCGGACGGTGGTCTTCTTGGGAAGCGTCGCGTGGAAGGAGCCGCGCGTGCCGAGCACGAAGAGCGCGGCCGCGCGGGCCGTTGCCAAGCTGTCGGCCAGGCGGGCATACAAGAGCCCTCGAAGCGCTGCGTCGACGCGCAACTTCTTCTGGACACGAACGCTGGTGAGCTGCATCGCCACCGTCGCAACCAGGCTCTCGTCGACGCACGGCGCCACAAGCTGTGCGGCGGCCATCAGGCCGGTGCGGGCCGTCTTGCTCTTGTGCAGCTCGTCCTTGCCGCGCCCCGTCACAAGCCAGGCGGCGATGCGCTTGACCAGATCACGGCCAACGTCAACGTCGACGTCGTCAGAGCTCTCCAACAGCGATGCGTGCTTGGATGGGATGGCCGCGCGCACCTTCTCGTCCTCGGCGGCCGCGACGGCAAGCGCCTTGCGCGTGAGGATGCTGTGCACCGCTGTGCGCGCCGCCTTGGTGATGTCGCGCGAGTCCGGGGTCGCGACACGCGCACCCTGGGCGGCGCGTGCGTCGGCGACCGCCGCCGCTGTGACGGTCCTCACGAGGAGAGGCCGCGTATCAGACATTGGCTGCAAAGGCGAGAACAGAGTGGACGCGGCCTGGACACGTTCCTTCAGCCTGGCTAAGCAAATTTCGAGCCACAAGCGTTCGGGGCGCGCCGATAGCGCAACTTAATAAATGGTCTGCGGCTGAGAGGGTCAGGATGGTCACAGCAAAAACACTCCCCCTGACAAAAAAAGGAACGAAGGCCTCGGCCTGGAAACCATCCTGTCTTTCTTTTTCAGCCTGCCTGCTGCCGAGGGCCGCCTTTTGGCGTCTTCTTGCGCCTTCCCGCCTCCTCCCCTCTCTTGCCTGTTTTCGTGTAACGGCTGCAAGGGAAACAAACCAACTACGTTATCGTCTGCTGCACTTGGGGTGGGACGACGGGGGTAGCCGTGCTGTTGCTGTGAACAGCTGGGGCACGCGCCTTATCTGGCCCGGCCCCTTGGGGACTTGCGGCTCGGATGCGACCTCTGACCGCGGGTCGCAGACCGTGCTCTCGGTGTCCGATGACATGGCGCCTCTTCACGATCAGCACGCCAGTCTGTTCACACCTCTCTTCTGTTCACTTCAAACAAACAAGTACTCGCTCTCTTTTATGTCCCACCATGCAGAGCGCATCTCTCTCTCTGTCGTGCGAGGCGTGAACCGCGCCATTCGCTCTCACCTGGCAACCCTGTCTGCACGTCTCGCGCGCGCGTGAACAGGGCTCCAGGCCCCAAATGACGTGTGAGTGTTAGATTTGTTTGGTATTGCTAAAAATCTCTCTCACTTCACGGAGTGACAGGCGACTCCTTCTGCGACCGGGGACCGACGCCGGCGAGCCGGACGCCGCGGCCGCCCCCCCAAAAGCGAAAAGGTGTCCCTCTTGTCCGCCATTCCAAACGAGGCGCGAGTGAAGCCGCTTTTCTCCCTTGCCGCGTCGCGCGTATGGCACCACTTAACGTAAGCTGAACACCGGCAGTACACTGCGGTGTGAAACGAGAGACGAGAGAGTGCTCCCAGCGTCTACACAACGAGGCCTTGCTCACCCCAACAATTGGCGCTGATTTCAGCTGCTCTGGCGCGCTCCCGCCCCCGCCACGCCGAGCTCGCACCACATTCCGCCGCACTCAATCTCGCACCGCGCCCCAGAAGAGCAGAAGGGCGACTTGGGGCAGCTGCCGCACTTGTCAAAGGAGCGGAGGCGCCGCCGCGTGACCGTGGCGAGCGCGCCGCCACCGTCGCCAGCTGGAGCGTGGCCTCACGGCAAAAGGCGCACCCGGCGCACTTTCGCGAGGCGCAGGCCGCCCCTGGGGCGGTGGCGTGGCAAAAGCCGTTGCAGACGAGCGGCGGGGGAGGCGGCGGCGGCGCCGCGCACTTCTCAAACTCGAGGTCGTCGATCGAAATGTCGGAGAGATAGCCATCGCCCACGGTCCCGACGAAGCGCAGGCTCGCTCCGCCGGTGCGGCGCATCGGCGGCGTCAGCGGCACGAGGGCCCTCCGCCACGCGTCTGCGGTGGATCCGCCGGCGCTCTGCCCGTCGGCGCGCCAGAGGGTGGCCCACGCCTCGCCTTCCGCCGTCCGAGCCCGCAGCTCGAGCGATCCCATCGACACGCCGAACATGTGAAAGGAGAAGCCCACAGAGGCGACACACTCCAGAGGCGGCGGCCCTCCGGTGAGCACCGCCTTGAGCGCCCTTGCGACGTGGGCGAGGTTGGCTCCGCGCGGGTCGGGGTGGTCCTAGAGCGCTCCGACGGGAAGAGAGTCCAATATCGCGTGGGTCGCCTCGACGAGGTCGGCGAGGGAGAGGAAGGCCTC